AAATGCTTTACTAAGTCCATAAAAACGAGATCCACTGCTCTACACTCATCCATCTTCATCGCTTCTTCAAAATACTCAATCAGGTTTGTGAGACAAAACCTTCCCTGCGTAAAGCCATTGTGACTGTCCCCGCTAAGTTCATTCTTCTCCAAATGCAAGTAACTCCAGTCCCCAAGAATCTTCTCCAATAATTTCCATACCACTGATATAAGGCTCACTTGGCTATAATTTCCTGAATTATCCCTGTTGCCCTTCTTAAACAAAAGGAACAATATTGGCTATTCTCCAGTCTTGTGGGAGCTTGCCTATGGTTAATTGAGATACAAAGATCTCTGTCAAGACCCCAACAATCTTTTCCCTTGTCTCCTTCAGGTCTTGGGGACTTATCTACCATAATGTTTTTCAAGAAACACAACACCACCTCCTTCTTAATATTGACATGTCCCTGAGTATCAACATACCCCTCTCTAATCTTACCATCATCTATGCCCTTCTCCTTGGTGAATACTGATTCGAAGTACTAATTAAGGACCTCAACCATTTCCTCTGGCTCCACACAAATTCCCTCATGTGGCCTTTAGTGGACCTACTCTTCTCCTAGTTAGCCTTTTGCTCCCGATATATGTATAAAATGCCTTGAAATTCTCCATAATCCTACTCACTAAGGATATTTCACGGCCGCTACCAGCCCTCTTAATTTCTTGTTTAAGTTCTTTTCTGCTTCCTTTATACTCAAGGACCTTGTTTGTTTTCAGTTTTCTGAACCTTAAATATGCTTCCTGTTTCTTTTTAACTAATCCTTCAACATCTCATCATCCACTGTTCTCAAATCTTCCCATCCTCACCTTTCACCCTCACAGGAATGTGTTGGTCCTGAACTCTGATCAACTGGCCTTTCAAAAGACTCCCACATGTCAGATGTGGATTTACCCACAAACAGCTGCCCCTCTCCCACCCAAATCAAATTTCTCCAGATCCTACCTAATACTGTTGAAATTAACCTTCTCCCAGTTAGGCACTTTCACCCAAGGACCAGTCTTATCCTTGTCCATAACTTTCTTAGAACGTACAGAATAATGATCACTATTCCCAAAATGCTTCCCCCACTGAAAATTCAATCACCAGGCCAGGCTCACTCCCTAATTCAAAATATAATACAGTTGATCTTTCTCTGCACCATCTCTGTTGCTATAACACAATATTCTGCACACAAATGACGTACTTACATAAGGTATGATTTGTGTGGACAGCACGAAAAATCATACATTTCATTATATCTCAGTATGTCACAATAATAAATCAAATCAAATGACACGGCCCCTTCCCTAGTTGGACTACCTACAAGAAACTCTCTGGTTGCACCTAACAAATTCTGCCCCACCTAAGCCCCTGGCACTAAGGGAGCCCGAGTGAATTTCAGGAAGTTAAAATCACAGACTACAATAACCCTGCTGTTTTCACATCTTTCCATGATTTGCTTACATATCTGTTCCTCTATTTCCCGCTGACCACTGAGACGCCATGTAGTAAATGGAAGCTGCAAATAAAAAACACAACACCGAAATTCATCACCATCACCTGACTTGGAAATATATCACCACTCCTTCAATGTCACTGACATTCCACAAATGAATTTAAAAAAGCACTGTCACAGCTAGCAGATGAAGACTCAACTGAATCTGAATCCTGGTCCAATTAGGAAATGCCTGTACCTTGATACTACTTTCATCGTTTTGCCCAAACAAAAGACTCACTATACTGTTTTAACCAGATGTTTTGCTTTTGGTCAAAGAGCCTTTTTGAATCTTCAGGTTTCATTAACTTTGCTCACATTAAACTATGCCCTAACTTTAAAAGATAGGGAGAGTAAAAAAAGGTGTGGAAAAGGTATGGAACACTGGCAACCAAAACAGAAATCAAGCTAAATAGTTTTAGAAGAATCCATACCGTTGGCAAGTAAATACTGAACAAGTTCCTCATGCCCACATAGACATGCGTAATACCTGTTGGTAGAGTGAAAAGTTAGTGATGCAGTAAAAAAAATCTGATCTACTGTACCTCTTGAAGGACAACAGTTAAAAAGTTACATTTCTGGAATGATTGTCTTTTTTAATAAGTGGAACATTTTTCAGAAGAAAACAATGCAATTCTTCAAACAGCTGAGTAAAATTTCAGCGAGTGCTGAACATGTCATTAGAACTTAAGTGCTGATTTATAGGGCCCCACTCTTATTTGTGATTTTAATTTGTCTTCTGTAATACAGCACAAAAGGCAACACAATTTCATTCAGAGAAGTCAAAAGTAGCACATCCGCATAAAATGGGTGCTTAAGATTACCACTAAGCATTGCTGCAAGTTAGGATTCAGCTGCCCAGTGCCATGTTTATATTCATCTTTTTTCCACACGTGATTCTACAGCAAACTGGTGATATGTTTCAATTGGTGTGACCAAAATGGTGTGACACCAGCTCGTCTAGGGATTCTTCTCCATATTTCTCCCTGATCCTGGAGGTCTTTTCCGCACCTCCTGTTTCAATGTCACAACTATTCTGCGTATATGCATGTTGTGCATTTTGCACATCGAGGGTCTCAAACTGCGCACGTATGTGTTTCCAAGTGAGCATGCAGGCGCAGTTGCCCCACAGATTCGTTGTCTGTGAACACTGCCATTCTATGTTCAGCCACGGGATGTGGGTGTCACTGGCTGGGCCAGCATTTATTGCCCATTCTTAGTTGCCCTTATGAGGATGCTTCCATGCTCTACGACTCTGATTTACAAGTAATTAGAGTTATCTTTGCCTCTACTTTGATGTTAAAACTCTCAGTAAGTTCCATGCAGATTTGTTCCTCTATATGCCTCCCATTAGCTGTTGGGCTTCATAATAGACCAAGCAATTTAATTGCACCCGTCTTATTCCTAAATTCTAGCTAAATCAATTCTGTCCTTAAATGATCTAGAAAATCCTCTTTTTCTAACCCTGAAACGCTCTCACTAGCTAAAAAATGCCAATCCTCCTCCTTTTGTTTTACTTTCCCATCTTTTCTGAACACGTTTTAACTAGGAATATTCAACACCCAGATCTGCCCTTGCAAGTCTCCATCATCATTGTAAAGAATAAACTCAGCTGACAGCATAATACTGTTAAATGCATTTTAGAGCAGGGCTGTGCTCACATACGGATGAGATACTGAAGGGTGGCTTTAGCTCAGAGAACTGGATCATCACAAAAGAAAGTTTGAAAAAATAAACTGAAATTAGAGCATCCCTTTATTCTTTATTCATTTGCAGGATGAGGGTGTCGCTGGCTAGGCCAGCATTTATTGCCCATCCCTAATTGCCCAGAGGGCATTTAAGAGTCACACCCACATTGCTGTAGGTCTGAAGTCACATGTAGGCCATACCAGGTAAGGGTGGCAATTTCCCTCCCTAAAGTACGTTAGTGAACCAGATGGGTTTTTCTGACACTTGACAATGGAGTCAAGAATCTAATGATGACCGTAAGTCCAGATATTTTATTGAATTCAAATTCCACCATCTGCCGTGGTGGGATTCGAACCCGGGTCCCCAGAACATTATCTGGGTCTCTGGATTAACAGTCCAGCGATAATAACACTAGGCCATCACTTTCCCAACAGCATGAAGCTTAATATTAAATAAGTAAAACACTTGCTGATAAGCTAAGCACCATCTACTGCAGGGCAGTTAGGGATGGGCAATGAATGCTGGCCCAGCCAACGACTTCCACACCTTGTGAACAAATGTGTAAAAGTGTTTGCATGCTGCAAGTCAACACGATAGGGAGAAACAAGAACTTTAACATGTTCCTCATGGCAATGTGTGGATATCTCAGCTTCTCAACAGGAAACGCCTCTCAAAGCACACATTCCGAGACCACTGCGTACAGCAAAACACAGATTTTTATCAATCTGCATCAATCGTACATCAATCTGCACTGATGTTATATATGGAAAAGGTAGACAGCCTACAACAGCATTTATGTAAATAACTTTAGGGAAAAAAAAAAGTCCAAGGCAGCCGAAGGGGCATAGTCAGAAATAAAGGATGACAAGGTGGAATAGTGTTTTGAAAGGGTGCTCAAAATCTTGATAAAGAGATGGGGTTTAAACAGGAGTCTTAAAAAGGAGAGGGAAGTGATAGATTTCTGATGAATGGGAGTGGTTTAATTGAACAAGTACAAGCAGATATCATTCTAAGTCTTTATTCTAAAGATAAACATCTTTCCTTATTGATAGAAAATATTATCCACTATCATTCAGCCAGATTTGAAAAAAAGTACAGCAATTTGCGAAACAGAGGAATAAAAGCAGTTGCAGCATAGGAGATTACAGTATGACAAATTGACACTAGCAAATCCCATTATAAATGTATACAAACGAATGTTTAATGTAAATGTTGGCAAAAGCAGGACATAAACAGAACAGTAAGCAAGCTTTTTTAGTTGGGAAGCATGAACTTTCTAACAGAATGTAGAATTTAGAGAATAAATGAAGATTTATAACATATAACAGATAATCTGTACTTACAGTGGGGTACTGTCCCATTTATCTTTGACATTTAATTCCACATCCCTCTGTTCAACCAGATAGCTGAAAAAATAAATGACAACTATATTAAAACCAGATCTAAGATTGCATTATATGTTCTAATGTCATAAGCCCAACATGCCAAACCGTGCAAAAGATAAAAGATGCATTAATGCTGCTCATCAACATAAATTGAACAAGTTGATCTGAACTTAAAATCAAAGTTACAATTTTGTCAACAGATCCTAGATTCTGTGGATTTTCTGTATTTAATATGTAAATGTTATACTAGACCGAAAAAAAAGTCTCTAACATTCTCCATTCTTTCCTCCTCAAAGAACTCAACATCAGAAGTATGACATTTAAGACAACAAATTAAAAGACTTTCTTTCTTTTTATTTGTTATGATGTGGAGGGGCCAGAGTTGGACTGGGGTGGACAAAGCTATAAGGCACATGACACCAGGTTGTAGTCTAACAGGTTTATTTGAAATCACAAGCTTTCAGACCGCTGCTCCTTCTGGCTTTTTATTTGTTCACAGTGTGTAGACGTCGATGACTGGCTCAGCATCTACTGCCCATCACTAAGTGCCCAGCACAAGGTGGTGAAGAGTTGCCTTTGTGAACTACTGCAGTCCTGTTACAAAGGGAATTTCAGTATTTTGACCCAGTGACTGTGAAGGAACTGTGACACAGATCCAAGTCAGCAGGGGTTTGGAGGGGATCTTGCAGGTGACGATGTTCCCTTGCATCTGCTGCCTTTGACCTTCTCAGTAGTAAAGATCACAGGTTTGTAGAGTCAACCTACAACAGCGATAGCTGCAGAAGATTTTTTCTTTATTCACTCATGGGATGTGGGTGTCACTGGCTAGGCAGCATTTATTGCCCATCCCCAATTGCCCGGAGGGCAGTTAAGCGTCAACCACATTGCTGTGGGTCTGGAGTCACAATAGGCCAGACCAGGTAAGGATGACAGTTTCCTTTCCTAAAGGACATTAGTGAACCAGCTGGGTTTTTCCTGACAATCGGCAATGGGTTCATGGTCATCATTAGATTCTTAATTCCAGATATTTTATTGAATTCAAATTCCACCATCTGCCAAGATAGGATTCAAACCCAGATCCCCAGAACATTAGAGATAACAAGGTGTAGAGCTGGATGAACACAGCAGGCCAAGCAGCATCATAGGAGCTGGAAGGCTGACGTTTCGGGCCTACACCCTTCATCAGAAATGGGGGAGGGGAAGGGGGTTCCGAAATAAATAGGGAGAGAGGAAGAGGCAGACAGAAGATGGATAGAGGAGAAGACAGGTGGAGAGGAAACAGACAGGTCAAATAGGCGGGGATGGAGCCAGTAAAGGTGAGTGTAGGTGGGGAGGTAGGGAGGAGATAGGTCAGTCCAGGGAGGATGGACAGGTCAAGGGGGCGGGATGAGGTTAGTAGGTAGGAGATGGGGGTGCGGCTTAAGGTGGGAGGAGGGGATAGGTGGGAGGAAGAACAGGTTAGGGAGGCGGGGACAAGCTGGGCTGGTTTTGGGATGCTGTAGGGGGAGGGAAGATTTTGAAGCTTGTGAAATCCGCATTGATACCATTGGGCTGCAGGGTTCCCAAGCGGAATATGAGTTGCTGTTCCCGCATTGAGATCCTTCAGAAGCTTTTCTCCCTGCGACTCCTGAAAAGCGAAGCCTCTCCCCAGAACATTATCTGGGTCTTTGGATTAACAATCCGGCAATAATACCACTAGGCCATCACCTCCCCTCCTTTAAATTATGCACCATAAACAAGCGTAAGCAGTTACTTCTGTCAACCATTGTTCAGTAGGCAGTGCTCTTGCTTCCAAGTCAGAAGGTTGCAGATTCAAATCCGACTTTAGAAACAAATGCTCATAAGCCAGCTGACCCTCCACTGTACTGAGAGTGTCCTGCATTGTCAGAGGGGTTGCCTTTCAGCTGAGATGTTAAAACAAGCTCCCATCTGCTATCTCATGTCAATGTAGAAAGTCCCACAGCACCATTTCTAAAATGAGCAGGCGAGTTATCCCTTTTTCATTGACCAATTTTTAGCCTCAAAAAGACTATCTAGTTATTTATTTATTTGCTGCTTGCATATAAAAATTACATTCCAACCGAGACTCCATTTCGAAAGGTATTCCATTACGTACAAAGTAAGTTGGGAATGTGAAATGAACTATTTAAGAGTTTTCCTAAGAATAACATCACTGGTAGTAATTCCAGATGGCAGTATTTTGAATAAAACTAGTTGTTATTCTTTCAAAAATATATTTAACCAGCATCCAAAGTCCAGCAGGTAAATTGAACTGTCGGCCTTTATTTCAAAGGGAGTGGAGCATAAAAATAAGAAAGTTTTGCTAAAACTATACAAGGAATTAATCAGGCCTCACCTGAACACCAAACAGTTTTGTGCCCCTTTTCTAAAGAAAGATACACTGGCATTGCAGGTAAGGCAGAGAAGGTTCACTAGGCTATTTCTGGGCATGTCTTATGAGGAGAGGTTGAACAGATTGGGCCTGTACTCGGAGTTTAGAAGATTGAGGCACGACCTTATTGAAACATACAAGATTCTCTGGGGGCTTGACAGCTAGATTCAGAGAGATTATTTCTTCTTGTAGGGAAGTCTAGTAGCTCAGAGAAAGGGATCATCCAGTTAGGACAGAAGTAAGGAGAAATTACTTCTCTGCAAAGGAAATGAATCTGCAGAATTCTTTACCACAGAGCGCTGTCAAGGCCAGGTCATTAAGTATATTCAAGGTGAAGACAGACAAGATTTTTAATCAGTAAGGGAATCAAGGGTCATGAAGGAAAAAAAGGCTGGCGAGTGGAGTTGAGGAGTATGAGATTAGTTATGATCTCATTGAACAGTACAGCAGCCTTGAAGGGCTCACACATCTGATCCAATATCTTATGATCTTGTTGCATCTTTTCATGTTGCGTGAACTGATGTGCCCTTTTGAAGTGCAGTTTCTTGTATCCCAGCTGATGAGTGCAAGGCAAGAAGCTTCAACTTTGTGATAACAAGGTGTAGAGCCTTCTTCAGACCCGAAACGTCAGCTTTCCTGCTCCTCTGAGGCTACTTGGCCTGCTGTGTTCATTCAGCTCTACACCTTGTTATCCCTACTATCTCCGTATCAGCTTCAACTTTGTGTTGCTTTTAGCAATATATTTAATATTTTGTTAAAAGTATATTGCTGCAATTTAAGCAAGATTTGTAATTGAAAGTGTCATTTCTGATTCAGAAGATCCACGGTATGATATCTCCAAGCTTATACAGAAGTATATTTGCAGAAAGCAGGATTGGAATACAGCCGAGTTCATGTTTACTGCAGTGCCGAATTTCACAGAACTGAAGCTACAGTTGCAGTTCACTGGAGCATTCGTAGCCAAAGTCACGTAACGTGCTACATAAACACATTTTCTCCAGCAAAGCCAAGATTTTAAAAGCCTGCAGCTTGAAACAAGAGGAGAATTCACAAACAGTTAAATTCAGACCACTATAGCTTGAAGCTTTTAGACTGCCAGTAATTTGACAGTCTGCAATAAAGGTACAAGAGCTGCGGGTGACATTTTAAGCTGGCAACAAAAACAGAAATTGCTGGAAAAGCTTAATAGTGACCGGACCTGAATCATTAACTCTGATTTTTCTCCACAGATGCTACCAAACCTGCTGAGCTTTTGTAGCAATTTCTGTTTTTGTTTCTGTATTTACAGCACCCACAGTTCTTTTGGTTTTTAGAAGCTGGCAAGTTTTGTATCATAATAAACATTATACTTCTAGTTCAAACTGTATTCCAACCATGCTTTCCACAATTGCATTTCCCCATTAGCTAAATAAGTATCAATATTGTGGGCATTCTGATTCAGAAGCAGCATAACAAATTTGGAGGAAATTGCAGCAATACACTATTTGCTTATTGCGAAACATTAAATACATTTTGAAAGAGAATCAAATGTTTTATTCAAAATACTATCACCTGGAATTACTGTTGGTGATATGACCAGCAAAACAATATGTTCATATTACATTCTCTGCTCAATTTTTAAATAGAGTTTTAACCTGCTCAATTTAAATGTTAACTTTTCTACTCAACTATCAGGCAGTGGAGCACTGTGGAAAGGTACTGATATTGTTTGTGACTACTATCATCAGTAATCTCCAGGCTTATGGATGTCAGGTTTGAAGCTCAACTGTAGAATTACTAGCTGGGTCATACTGAAAGTATCAGTCATTTCTTTTAAAATTAATACTTTTCTGCTTTTCATATTGCAGGGTTTTGATCAAGTAAATAAGGAAAAGCTACCTCCACTTGCAGAGGATGCCGATTTAAGGAGGGGGCAGAGGTGTGGGATATAAGTAGACATTTTTTAAAAAAATCTCTGCCTGAAAGAGGAGTAAAGCACAGTCAATAATAATGTTACAAGGTAATTAAATAACTACTTAAAATGCAGGGTTTTTGACAGCTATAAATCAAGCAGTATGACATGAAACATGCAATATCTTCACTTATGGTTTGATTCCTTATGCAATAATTTGCAATGCACAGAGTATTCAGACAACTGGGGCAAAGACAGTATGAAGGAAGAAAAATGCACATATTCCAATACTTTAATGTTTGCTACTCTATCTAGCGAACATTCCTTTGGTAATTGAGAATGCTAAAATAAATTAGCTGGTCATAAACAGTGGCCTTTCTAAGCTTATTTATCTCCACTTTAAAGATTTGACTGCTACCCCCTCCTTTTAAAAATTGTTGGTGCTTTCCCCTTGCACAGGGCGTTTGTGGTTTGCCCTTCATGTAAGTAAAACTTTTCTCCTGTCATTCACGGAATTTATTTTAAACATGTTTATTTGAAAAGATCCTGGGCCCAAACACAACACATGCTTTGCAACAGCAGTAGATAAAGCAAAAGGCCTAAACATAACTATTGGTTGTGATGTGTCTGTAATAACAGTGCAATAAGGGTCTTGTTTCCACTACATCTTCATGAATTGTCTTAAGTTCTCAAAGATTGATGTGTTTTGTATAAAACAGAAGCTGGTCCTACATGGAG